TAGGGGTGCAGAAACAGATAAATGAACTGACAGATGTGAGATCCAGGAAGCACTGATGTAATATTTATTAACGCCATAAACTCTGCATGTAAATTTTCTGTTTGTAATATGCAAAAGGCACGATTACAAAACAAATAATATTGCTCAGAAATGAGATACCATGAACAAAATGAAAACTGAAAAAACAGCCCATGAATAAGAGCTGCTAGTACAGCATTAATATTTAATATAGCTCTTGCAAATCACACAAAAAAGCTTTGTTTGTTCTGAAAACATGAACAGCAGACACAATTTGCAGGTTCCTCAAAAAGCAAAGTGCAGGGTTGTGCCCATAAACTGGAATAAGTGGAATAATTCACATCCCCAACAGAGGTCATTGTCAGGATAATGTCAACACAGGTAACTGACAAAACAGTCTCAACTTGCCTTCCATTTAGAAGCCATGTTGAAAGCTTTTATTCTAAGCAAATTAGGTTTTCTACAACTAGTCCATGAAAAATAAGAAAAAAAAAGATCTGCTGTTAAAGCTCTTCTGATATCATTGAAGGGTCAAGACCAGATCGTAAAACGACCTGGTGATGATAATGTTGTGGTAATTGCTTTTTCCTGGATCAAGAAGGAACTTGGAGTTAACAAAAGTCATTCTAAGCTTTTGAACACGACACTGATGCCATTTTTTCTGCTTAGTGAAAAACATGTTTCTCTTTTCACTGTTTTTTTTTTTTTTTTTTAAATATCTGAGTTTGGAAACTTTTCTTGTCATAAGACCACCACATTTACTGTGATCATTAGAACGCTGTTTCTAATCGCTCTAAAATGTCTCAGCCATGTACAATGTACACCAAATGTTCTGCTGTTGGCTTCAACAGCTGATACAAAAGACCCCATGCACTCCCAGCAACCCAGGGAACTGAGGATCTTTAATCACTGATGCCAGTGACACCACAACAACCTAAACTCAGCAGGAGATCACATCTGGTTGCTTCTCTATTGTTCTTCTCAGTTACATGTTTTTTCTGTTTCTGTTCTTGGACAACGAAATGAGGATGAAAAAGTGACTGAAACACAGCCCATTAAGACTACATGCAAAACAGCAGTCACTTCACAGCCATTTCCAATGTGCTGCTCTGCACAGCTAAACTACTGATTTAATAGCCGTCATGTTGTCTGACAAACACAATTTATAATTACAGCTGTTCTGTGAATTCAACAATACTTCCCTTTAATATGATCACTCAGAGAGAAAGGTGATAGAAAGTCCTTGTCTATCAATCACAGACACAGAGAGAGTTTTCTTCCTGAAGGGAGCATGGACAGCAGTGGCTCAGCTGCATTCAAAACAGACACTCAAACAGCTGGGTTTTTATTTGAAGTCATATTTTTTATTTGAAGTCATATTAAAATGAACAATCTTTGCAGTATTTTAAGCTGAAAAATTGAAAGACACATTCTTGGGACATTAAAAAGAGCACAATGTGAGACCTTTAAACATACATTAGATAAGGGGACTGGGATGTAGGCCTTCAATTGAGTGCAATTCTCACAGAGCATCTGTTTAAATGAAAAACAGACAGACTTCTGGAGAATTGAGGTGCTGTGGTTTCTTGCAGCTGTGCAGAGCACTTGTATGAACTGCAGCTTAAGGCCACAGACATCCTATTAGAAAATGGCAGCTAGGTAAACAGTAGACAAAGAAGGTCCTATCCAACACCGCCTGGCATTTCTGACATGGTGTATGTGTATGCATGCCCACATGCATTTGCTTGTCATTATTTGTGTTTGTGTGTGCTGTTGCCCTGGCATAGACAGTACACATAAATCACAGCGAGGTATGAAGCCTTTGCCTAATGATGTAGCATGTCGAAGTCAGGTTTTCCTTTCCAGCATCTTATGTGGGTCACTGAGACTGCAGCATGGAAAGTTCATGCGCAGACACACACACACACACCCACACACACACACACACACACACACACACACACACACATGCATACTCATGCTTGAATGAACATAACACCTCTAGTTTATATCTGCTGGTAAGATGGAAGTTTGTGATTTCAGGTAAAATAGCATATGGACTGTCAGGTGAAGGTGTTAGTGGCCAGAGGAGGGCTTATCACACATCATCATAATTACTGATTATATCAACCGATATGAAAAATGTTATTTTGATAGACTTTTTAGCTATATTGGCCAGCCCTAGATGACAGCCTCAAAAGCAGATTCAGACATGTAGGGATTCATTCATACCAAACCTGTGGAACACTCCTGTCACCTTGTCGAACATGCAGAGCCAAATTACTCCAATATTTTACCTTTGAATTGTGGAGTTTAAAATAGTTACAGTGACAATGTTTGAGCAGAGACATAGGTGAGCTGGTGTGCTAGAGCTGCAGTGAGTGGGTAAGGGTAGTTTTTATTGTAAATACCAACACTGTTTGCAACGTATTTCTTCGACCAGCATGATTTGCATGTTAATTGCACATTCTTTTGCACATTGGTTTACGTATTTTTCCAAATTTAAAGTGTGAGCTACTGGTAAACTTGAATTCCTCAATAGGGAAGGATTCATTTGTCTGTCTGTCCATCATCCTTCATCCCTTTAAAGCTGTATGAACATCATCTTATCAGTATCACTCATCTTTTTTTTATCTGGCCTGATGTGTGGTGGCAGCAGACCAAGCAGCATAGCCTCAGTGTCCCCTCTGCCAAACCACATCCTCCTGCTTCTTCTGGAAAATCCTGAGGCTTGTCCAAACCAAGCATATGTATTCCCTCAGCACAAAGTTGGACATGCCAGGGATACCTTCATGGCGGTGGTGGGGGTGTTTCCAGGCTTCTCCATATCACCCTAGCCCTGTAACTGCAAATATGTATTTAAATGACCTGCATGGAAGGATGCACCGGGCATTGATACCACTTTATGAATCCCATGAGTTCACATCCACATTTCTTCCATTGTATTGTATCAGGATTTCAGGAATCACTCTGCAGAGTAGTTTGGCACAAGAGTTAAACCTGGTTTAACTATGGCCACAATTTATCAATTTCTGAGAAGACACCATGTTACCAAATGCTTTAAAAGATGTCACCCTAGTGGAATATTCTATAACATAAAAGCTCTGGATGTTCCATTTCTCTTCCACATGCTTTTTCTTGCAGTTGTGGTAATAAAGAATAAAATGACTTTAAGTGAAAGCTCAACATCTTTTGAGTAAACTCAATCTGGCCACTAATAAGCACATGTCCTTTGAGTCAGTGGTTTGCATGTTGGTATCTTTGCCAGGAAGAGGAAGAACATAGTAATAACTTTGCTCACTACCCTGAATATTGCGGTTGTTGGTTTTTAATTTTGCCACCTAATTTGCTCGGTTATTTCTTTTATTTCTTTTGGTTCTAGTTAGTGTTACAATGATGCAATTTGCTTAGATGGTCAATAGTAGATTGCAAGCAGTAATTTGCAGAAACACAGAGTCTTGTGTTATCGTCCAGTCGTTTACCTACATCTTATTTAGCATATTCTACTTCCTTTTTGCCTTGTTTTCCTCTTTTCTGAATCTGGATAAGTCCCCTGCTTTCTGTCTGACAAAGACAACAAAGGAACAAAGATTAGGCTGGAGAGGTTTAATGAGGTGTGATTGCTCTCACACCATTGACATTTCACACCAGCACTGTATACGTGAAGTCTATTTCTGACCAAAGGCACCGTGCAATCATAGTGAGATGAATCCTGACATCTTGGTATTTATGTGACATTTACTGGCTGAATTATCACATAAAACCTCTATTTTTGTTGTTTCACTCCAGCGAATTGTTTGTCATTGGATTACATCTATCTTATTGAATTTCCCCTGTGGTTCCTCTCCTCTGCTCATCACTTAATTTGTGTTCTTGCAGACTACAGAAACATACTGCCTTTCTCTTTAGACTGTAAGTTTAAGCAGCGTAAGATGACGTAATTAAGTAAGTGAAGATATGATTGAAACTCTGGTTCACATTTGACAGGGATAACTTCTGTATAGTTCAAGGTCAGTATTTCTATACCTGCTTTTGTATTTGTTGCTTGATTTTATCACTGGACTTTTGCTTTGTTTTTTTTTGTACATTAGGCTTGTTTATTTATATTTACAGTGACTGCTACTTTTCAGGAAAACACAAATTAATAGATAAAAAGCACACTTTGACTCTTGTCAGTACGCGAAGAAAACTCTACAAATCAATATCAAACGTACAGAGTAAAAAATGTAAGTAAAATGTGGAAAATACAAGCTAAATACAGAAACACAGCAAGCTTCCCAATGGGAAGTTACTACAGTTCTCTTAAAATGCTTTTGTTTGTCTTCTATAACAAGACACATTATAGTTGTCCCCTTAACGACACAAAATACGCAGATTCGGGATCAGATTTTGTTAAAGTTGGTTGGACCAGATAGATGAGTGGCTCCAGTGTCTCCCACATGCAGATCCGAGGGCTGAGAGTCCCCAGTTCAGTTCTTGATGGGTCAGACCGTTTGCTGCTTTCCTAGTCTGCTTCCCACACACTTCCTGTCTCGCTCCACTGTTCCAAATTAGATTAAACTACAAACAGACAATCACATTTTTTGAGCTGTATGGGAAATCCGAGGAATGTAAAAGAGAGATAGGTAAACATTGGACATGGCTTTTATGTTTGAATCTCAGGCTGAACAAGCTTTAGGTTTGTGCACTTAATCACTTTCTGCTTCCTACTGTGTGTGACTAATCATTGAAACTTCAGTAAAACTCTCACACCTTGTCTTAGTGTAGACACAGACAGCTGATGCAGTGAATCGGAGCAGACAGCAGAGCAGAGAAAACAACTCGTACAACATAAAGATACTCGTTAGTCGCTCGAGGGCTTACTGAAGCACAGCCAAACATCTCAGCACATTTTCCTTTTACACGCCACTTCACTGGAGATTGAAGTTGTTTCTTTCTCACGAGCTCACCTACGACTCTGCTCAAACACTCTAAAACTGCTCTTCACTAGACAATGACGCTGACTGCTCAGTTCGTTATAGGCTGAGTCTTCTGTATGTACCGTGTTATTAGCTAACATAGTGTGTAATTGAGAAGGATATTTTCAGTCAGTTTTGGTAACAATTCTTCCCCCTACCTATCAATTAAGCATAGATGGCTCACTTTTTAGGTGTTTCTAAATGCAAGTCACATAATAGCTCAATATGGTCCTTCCATTTATTCATGTTTTTTTACTAAAGCTAACACTGAACCCAAATGTCAGCTTCTTGCTGTTCAGCTTTGTGTCTGTGTCTTACTGCAGACCTCCAAGGGCCTTGTGTTGTCAGGACATTACATTTCCAGGCTCACAGTGAGTGCGTCATGACAGCTACTGCTGTGATTTTCTAACTGTTTTTGTTTTTGACACTTACTTAAGCTTTCTAAGTGTGTCCTGTCAGTTGATGGGAGTCATTAATGTGACGCCTCTCAGAGAGACGTATGAATGTGCAGCAGCCAACTCGAGCACGAGAACACAGACTTACAGTAGAGTGTAGCAGGCTAAATGTGTTTGTTTGTAAATGAGTGACTTTAATGTCTTGTAAAATAATATATGGCACTTATATTGTTTGCTTACTATCATATTAGTGATTTTATTGTTTCCACCGGTGGCGGCCTTCACCTATGCTGGCTCCCTGAAACCTGATCTCATCTGAACCTTGACCTCAACACCATAAACATCACAGCCTGCTTGTACAGCAACAAGGGCCTGATGGGGGTTGGCCCCAAAGTCTGCAACAACCTCACCATCAGAAAACAGCCTCCCCTGTGCTTTCCCCTCTGTGTGTCATACTGCTAGTTACCTAAATGAAAACACATGCTATTAAATGACAACTGCTTGTGTGAATCTGACTGATCTGAATGCAGAATACATTTGTGTTGTTGTTGTTGCAGTAGGTGAAAACAGGGCTTTTAATTATTCTCTAAATTATTCATTGAAGCATGTAAACATAATATTTTATTATTGTTTTATTCATTCATAGGATATCATTATTAAGATGATATTCCTGTTATTTTTTAAACCATGGCAGTTTGATAATTGCTGCACCACCTGGTGCTGCCAGTGTCTGTGTTGTCTTGCCGAGTCTGTTCAGGTGGCCCACATTCTGTATCACACCTAATTATCCTCCTTTCTCACTACTCACATTATCTGTGGTGGACTGCAATTTTCAATTTTAGGTTCCATTTTATTTTCTATTTATATTCTTCCATTTCCAAATCATCCAACATCACATCACAGAGGACACACAAATGTACCTTTACTCGAGACCTGTGACCTCAGGAGCCCAGCTGCTGTTTCCCACCATTTCAGTTGTGCCAGCTGTTGGATGGCACAAGATTTTGTTCACCTCTGTAACTGAAAACCAGAAGTCAGAATTTCCAGTCCCCCTGCAACATATCAGTGTCATTTAGGGCAGCAGGACAGGCAGACAGCACGAAGACTGATGTCCACTGATTCAAAGGATCTCCATGTAACAAGCTGTGATTGTGTTGCCACTTTCCTGGAGGACATCCCATCCAGCATCCAGAAAGAGGTGGCACATGACTAGCCATTTATTCAGCTCTGCACTACACTAGTGACTGTAGGCTCTTTCTCTTTCATTACTCGGACTGAATCACTTTATGGGGATTCATACGACAATGGAGATACAGGATGACTAACTAATACTTTAAAGAAAAGAGGTGCAGAATCTCTCCTGTCTGTTTCTGTGCGTCTCCCATTTCACTGTGATGACTTCATTGTTGGTGATAAAACGAACATTTCTAGAAAGAAGAGCCTATCAAAGGACGCTCTGTCTTTTCTGCCTCGCTGTACCTTTCCAGCCTCCCTCGCTTTCTCGCTTCTCACTCAAGGTTCAGACACAAATTTCTGATAGATTGCAGCCAGTGAGGTGAACATAGCCAGTCAGTTCTGACACCTTTAGCATGCATGGGAAACTCTCCACAAAGCTCTCCTCTTCCCTGTGGTGCGTTGGTTCACTGACATTAGTATTTCACTGCTGTCACAGATTTAATGATTTAGTGGCTGAGTACAGATCCCAAGTATCCCTGCCTGGCATGAAGGTACTGAATGTCTCTAGGTGACTCTCTGGCTGACTGTCAGCGCTCTGCCATGTGCTAAATGATTGTCCCTGATTTAGAGGAACAGTTAGATGTCATAATTGGCCTTGCGGTCACTAGACATTTTAAACTTTAATTTTAAACTCTTCCTAGTTTCTGATATCATCAACTAGTGCCATCAGAAAAATCTGAACAAATGTGTTCAATAAGATGATCGGGCACAAGTCATAATGGATGTAAAAATAACCGCTCTTACAGGTTACAAAAATAAATAATATTCAGGCCGAATTAATGTTACTTGATGCTTTATTAATCAGTTATTGTTAATTGATTATTTATTACTAATAATACAGGTATTAAGTATTTAATATTTCTTAAAGATTTTAAAAAAAAACATCTATTAACCTTTTAATGAGGTATTATGATCATCATTTGCATCTATATAATCAATCAATCAATCAATCAATCAATCAATCATTCAATCAATATTGCTTATTGATGATTTACAAATTACTTACTAACCATTAACGAAGTGTTTTAAATATCAAGCTCATCTTGTTTATTGATGTTTTACATACAATCTCTCAAAGCTTTACAAATCATTGAGTCACTATTAACAAATACTTAATATATTTATTTGTCTATTTATTTGTTTTGATCAGTTAATGTCATTAGAATGTAACCGCTAGTGTCTCCTATATATGGTGATGCTTTATATGGCATTCAACCAGAAAAATCTGTTGTTTTTCTACATGAAAAGTGAAGGGATCGCCAGGACTCAGGGCTTTCCATATCAGATTTTATGGGAATCTACACATGTATGTTTATGTAGTTGAAGTCTGAACCAAAGTGATGTATTGACTGACTGAGCTTATTCTAGTCAGTCAGATGGCTAATAACACTGAAACTGTTGCACCAACTTTTCTGTCTTTGAGATTAACACCAAACATATTTTCCAGGCTGCTGTGTGTGAAAGCATGAAAACATCTCAAACGTGCTCATCTCTTGATTTCTTGACACTGCTATCAAGGTAATTTGCTGTTAAAAGTCCCAGTTAAAGAAGTAAGGGCCTTTGATGGGCTGAGAGTGGGATGTAGCGCAGTGAGTGACGAACATGCTGACCTTCAAAGTGTAGACAGTAGCTTTGCTGGTCCTCTCTTAGTGGACTCCAGCACTTCAGCAGTCATCCATTATGTGTTTCTCTGGGAGAGTGAGTGAAAACAAGAGAACACAAATACTAAAAATCATATATATTTTTACTGGGTTAAATAAAAAGAAATAGAAAAGAAATAAGAGAGAAGAAGAAGCAAGGACTACTAAATATAAGTATAATCGAAATCGAAATTTCTACCTTGAGAGTGGGTGTTTTTTTTTCAGTAATAATGGGGTACCAACGTAAAAGCACTGAAATAAAACATTAAAAGCTGTAACAATAAATTGGGGTGATACTCTGACAACAGAAGAGTTGTCTAAACAACTAAACCCTCATACTGCCAAGCTAGTCAGATATCTTGTTTTCAGTCAGATATCATTTTGTTTTTAGTCAGATATCATTTTGTTTTTAGTCAGATATCATTTTGTTGTTGCATCTATAATTCCCATAATATTCCTCCATTGTGCTGCCAAAACAGCCTTGACCTGCCTGGGCCTGGACACAGGAGCTCTGGCTCTGGCACCAGGACACTGACAGCAAATCCGTTAGGTCCTGTGAGTTACAGAGTTGGGGTTTGGTTAAAATACGTGCAAATTGACAAATCGTATAAACCATAAGTCAACTTTTCTTTCAGATCATCGTAACCTGCCACATGTCTCCAACTCAGCTGCATGTATGCCTGAAAGTCTTTTTGTCTAAGCATGTGATAATAAGGCCTGGTACATGTATGTAAAGGCAGTATATTACTTCAGCACGTGTGCTCAGTGGGGTTCAGAACATGGTTTTTCTGCGGCCTTCTCACATTTCCTCTCATGTCCTCCCATGAGGTTGTCAGTCTCTCATGCTGTTTAGGTAACAACTCCAGACTGCTGTCTTTGGCTTAACTTGAAACCAAATGTAGCAAACTCAAACAGCCCCACACTCACTATGAGAGACTTTCTCATGTCCTGAAGCAAGACTTTTGGTGTGACAGGACAGGAAACAATACAGCCCCCATAATCCTTTCTCTTGTTGTATTTCTGCTGTGGACAAAAGACCACTGGTTGTGTGTCCATGTGACTGGAGGCTGTAGTAACCATGACAAATTAAGGTACATGTGCAGAGTTACACAAGACCTTCAAGTCTTTGGGTCTGAAGGATGTACCGGAGAGGTACAGGAAGTTAAAAGATTCCTGCTGTTAAACACTGCTATTAGACTTTGTGGTAAGCAAGACACACAGAGATGAAAGAGATATCAACCTTTTATTGAGAAGGCATGGATCTCCATCCAGCAGAGTGGGGCCATTGCAGTGTCACTGTGGAAAATGACCAATGTTGGTCCACCTCTGCACCAGAGAACCCAGCTTGTTCTCATTTTCAGTTTTGTTTCATGTTGTAAACTATGCTTTGCCTTTTTAATACAGAAAACAAGAAACCTCTCCAAAATGATGACGTGTTCCTTGAAGTTTCTTTCCATGGGTACTGTAATGCAGTTAAAAGTTAAAATCACACAGAAATGATGTTATGAAGTTATATTCCCAACTACCTACCCCCCCAAAAAGTGGTTAGGTAACACCGTGGCAGATACACAATACACACTCCTTCAGTGCGAAATGTTTGTGAAGATGTTGCCACAGTCAGAGCAAGACTAGTTGTTGTTTAGACTTTTTAGTTATAGAAAATATTTTCACAATGCATCCCAGGTTACAAGAGCATGAACTGTAGCAACTAAACCAATAAGACTTTTTGTGGTGAAGAATGAGCAAACAGAATAGAAATGGAGGCGAAAATATATTAAAGGACACAAATCAAGCTACTTCATGGTTCACTTTGCTAAGTTGCCTAATTAATTCTGAATATTAAATAAATGACGTGTCTGGCTAAGACATAGTGAGGTATGTCTTACATAAAAAAATAGAAGTGAAAACAAATAAGTCCAGTGTGGCCAGAGCAGTTCAATCCTTTGTGTCTAAAACTACAACAGTAAATATTTCAGACAGACTGTCAAACACATGACTTCTTATTCTGCTGAGCTCCCGGTTGTTCAGACAGGTCTCTGAATGCAGCACATCTGAGTGAATCCTGATTATCCTTCAGGTTGAACATGTTTGCAGAAGCGA